AATGTGAATATGGTTGTATGAGGACAAGTTAAAAGTGAAAGTAGCTCACTTCTGGTTACCGTCCGCGTCTCAAAAACGCGCGTGCTTAAAAAAACCGGGATCAGACACTGAGCCCGTATGGTCCTGTATCTAAACGGTCAGCATTTTCTTTACTCATGTCATGCGCAAGCCGGCTCACATGCGCCTGGTAAAAATCTTACGAAAATTTCTTCCGCAGCACCGATGATAATGATTTAACACGAAAAATGGGTATAACGAAGCAACTAATGCAACGAAGTGGACTTCGCCTACTTGCTTGCTATGTAAGATTTCAAAATTGTCTCAATTTGCGTTTTTTCTTTAATAATTGTTGAATTTTGAGTTGGGAAACGTGTCAGAGACCGCAACTCTTGTGGATCTTATGTAAGAACTTTCAAAGTTACAAGCTTGTGCTCAGCAGAATCAGGGCTATGCGTCGAAATTTAGTAGACGTAAAGTTTTAAAATCGAAGAATTAATGGAGTATTCGTAAAATCGGAGGAAAAGGTGAATCAGAAAGTAAGCTATTTTGGAGAATTCGAGAACGGTCGATCTCCAGCTCAAAGATAGATATAATCGAAATCGAAAAGTGAAATCGTGTAGTCAGATACGAGATAATATGAGACGCAAGCTTGGAATCGGAGGAAATCAAATTAAAATTTCTGATTGTGCTATTCTACTATTCGATCGTACTCTTCTTGAACTTTTATTTCATCCTGGATGCGAAGTTTTTATTACATCGTATATCAACTGTTGTTTTGTAGACTCAAGTTGTGGTACGTCGATTGTTGTCGTCTGCAACTACGGTAAGTACGTAGAAAAACACATCGTGGAAACTTAAGCAATACGACCATTTTGTTTTCTCTGCGTTTTGAACTGGGACTGGGATTCATTGTGGGCTCAGCACAGTCATGTATAGGGCCATTCCATTTAATATCTGCACCCCCCCCCCCCCTATTGAGGTTAGGGGAAATCTGAGGGAGAGGGGGGGGGGGGNAGATTTCAAAATTGTCTCAATTTGCGTTTTTTCTTTAATAATTGTTGAATTTTGAGTTGGGAAACGTGTCAGAGACCGCAACTCCTGTGGATCTTATGTAAGAACTTTCAAAGTTACAAGCTTGTGCGCGGCAGAATCAGGGCTACGCGTCGAAATTTAGTAGACTAAGAGTTTTAAAATCGAAGAATTAATGGAGCATTCGTAAAATCTGAGGAAAAGGTGAATCAGGAAATGAGATATTTTGGAGAATTCGAGAACGGTCGATCTCCAGTTCAAAGATAGATATAATCGAAATCGAAAAGTAAATTCGTGTAGTCAGATACGAGATAATATGAGACGCAAGCTTGGAATCGGAGGAAATCAAATTTAAATTTCTGATTGTAATATTCTACTTTTCGATCGTACTCTTCGTGAACTTTTATTTCATCCTGGATGCGAAGTTTTTATTACATCGTGTATCAACTGTTGTTTTGTAGACTCAAGTTGTGGTACGTCGACTGTTGTCATCTGCAACTACGGTAAGTACGTAGAAAAACACATCGTGGAAACTTAAGCTGTATGACCATTTTGTTTTCTATGCGTTTTGAACTGGGACTGGGACTCATTTCAAGTGGGCTCTGCACAGCCATGAATAGCAGGTAACACAGCTGAAGAAAAAAGCTGAATGCATGTGCACTGAAGGGGATCTAAAGTAAGTTATAAAAAGCAATCACACATAAAGCTAGCAGTGAGATTTAACAAGTTTCAAGAATCTTGGAATGAAGATTTCCTGTGAGTAATCCATGAGACAAAATGTAATTTGTGATAATCAGTATTGACATAGATTAATATTTTGCCGACACGGATCAGAGAACTGGGTGCAAGCATATTATGCGAAG